TACGATCTATGAGAGGTTAAACAACAATGAAACGATTTTGTCGATTGTTATCTTTTTTATATTTAATTTAACATTCTATTGCTTCTATTTTAAATTGTAAGTTTAATTATACAATATATTATATATTATATATATACATTCTATTGCTTCTATATAATTGGAAAATTTGTTTAAGTGATTAGCCGCGCGTAGCGCGGCCAAAAGATCTAGTATAAATAAAGAGGCTAGAAAGAAGACAAGACAACACACCAACTCAACTTTAAAGAGTTGTGCTTGTGCATGTTACTTTTTAAAAAAAAAAAGCTAAATCCAAGAGACAGTGATCGGTCGGAGAGATGCCGAATCTAGTGGAGAAAACGGGAAGCCGACCACCGTGGGTGGGGTTAGCAGCCGCCGCTTGGGTTCAGATAGCGGCTGGAACCAGTTCGACTTTCCCGCTTTACTCCGCCGCTCTCAAATCGGTTCTTGGGTTTAACCAGCAACAGATCACCATCCTCGGCGTCGCTTGTGATCTCGGTGAAAACTTGGGCCTACTTCCAGGTTACGTGAGTAACAAGCTCCCTCCATGGGCGATGCTTCTCATCGGATCTACTTCTTGTTTCCTCGGTTACAGCGTTCTCTGGAGCTCCGTCAACCAAATCATCCATGGCTTGCCTTTCTGGCTGGTATTAACCACACCCTTCTCTGCATATCATATATATTTATCTATTTTGTTTCTTTCTTTGATCATTTTGTATCTTTTTGGTTTGTTGACAGCTGTTCATTGCTCTGTTTTTCGGCACCAATAGTAGCTCATGGTTCGGCACAGCATCTTTGGTGACCAATATGAGGAACTTTCCTATGAGCCGAGGCCCTGTTGCTGGGCTCATCAAAGGCTATATTGGTCTCAGTGGCGCAGCATTCACTGTGATTTTCAGCGTCTTGCTTCACCATTCAGCTACGAATCTGCTTTTCTTTCTTATGGTTGGCGTTCCCCTTTTATGCTTATCTCTCATGTATTTCGTCCGCCCCTGTGTTCCTGCTACCGACAATGACCCTTCTGAGCCTGTTTATTTCGCTTTTCTCCTCGGCTCAAGCATCCTTCTCGCTGCTTATCTTGTTATGACCACTGTGCTTAATGAGGTGTTTACACTTCCAAGCATCCTCAAATATGTTCTTCTGGCTGGCACGGTCTTGTTCTTGATGGCTCCTCTTGCGATCCCCATCAAGATGACGCTCTTCCGTTCCAAGAGATCTCCGGATTCGTCAGACAATCTAGCTAAAGAGGAAGGTGAGAGAGAACCATTGCTGATACCTTCTACCTCAGCTTCAAACATGGGAACTCTCTTCGAAGGAGATGGAGATGGAGATGGAGATGGTGCTTCGGAGATGGAAATACTTTTGGCTGAAGGAGAAGGTGCGGTTAAGAAGAAGAGGAAGCCAAGGAGAGGAGAGGACTTCAAGGTTCGTCAAGTCTTTGCCAAGGCAGATTTCTGGCTCCTTTGGTTTGCTTACTTCCTTGGCATGGGTTCAGGCATTACTGTCTCTAACAACTTGGCACAGATCGGTTTTGCTTTTGGTATTAAGGGAACAACCATACTCCTCTGTCTCTTTAGTTTCTTCAACTTCTGTGGCCGTCTTGCTTCTGGTGCCATCTCTGAGCACTTTGTCAGGTCAAAAGCGCTTCCAAGAACACTATGGATGGGAGCTGCGCAGCTTGTTATGATGTTCACATTCATCCTCTTCTCCATGGCCATTGATGGCACCATTTACCTGGCGACAGCTCTTGTAGGGATAGGCATGGGGTTTCAGTACTTGTCAATCTCCACCATCTCGGAGCTATTTGGTCTTAAAAACTTTGGAATCAACTTCAACTTCATACTCTTGGGAAACCCGACCGGTGCGGCCATTTTCTCGGCACTTATGGCAGGACATATATACGACAGGGAAGCGACTAAGCAAGGGAGTTCTACGTGCATTGGTCCTGATTGCTACAGGGTAACGTTCTTGGTACTAGCCGGTCTTTGTGGACTTGGAACTCTACTCTCTGTAATCTTGACTGTGAGAATTAGGCCGGTTTATCAAGCTCTCTATGCGTCTGGTTCTTTCCGGTTGCAGCCGCAGTCAAATGGTCACTGATGTTTCCATGGGATAAGCAAGAGAGACTGTTGAAACGAAAATCTTATTATATAAAAAATACAGTCGTAGATATGCTATCATGTCTACCTACCTATCATCGTATTAACTTTCATTTGTATCTTGCGGCATATTGTTTTTTTGAGGTGTGTATCCTAAGATTTGTAAGCTTTTGTTTATTCAGCTGTGATGGGTGACTCAGCCAGCCAGAGAACCGGTTGGAATAACCTTTTTGTAATGGCTTCTTTTACCATTGTAATGTTGTTTTGTTTGATGTTTTTTATAATGATTCTTGATCGCCACAATTTAGAAAAAAAAAGAAACAAGAGAGGTAATAAAGATCATGTTTGCTGAATCTTTTTCTTGCTTGTCAAGAGTTAAGACAGGTTACTAAACAATTCCAAATCAATAAAATGTCATGGCAAGAACAGGATCAAACAATTTTGAAGAATCAACAACTGAAAACTTAACACTCGGAAAACAAATCTTGTTGGTCACATGAACACAAAGCTAAGTCCTCTATCATTTCAATGTCTACAAAAGCATACCCAGAACAAACAAAAATCTTGGGAAACAAGAAAGCCCAAACTAATAATAGAATTAAATTTATCTTGAAGGTTATTGTCTACAATGTATATAAATATTATTTTTCTATTTTTATTTTATTTGTAAACAAAAATATTTCTATACGTAGTATTATATTAAGAAAATAATATAATATTAACATATTTGAAGTAAAATAATATATGCACGAGATTCACAATATTATCTATATTCCATTATTTAATTTTCAATCAGTTCACACTTTATTCTATTTTTCTTATTTGATTCTAAAAAAAAATATTATGTTATATAAATCTCACTAATATATATATATATATAGAGGAGAGAGAACAGTCTAAATGTAAAATATATTATTTTTTAAAGTATTAATATATTTATAGAAACAAAATATAATGGTGAATTGAAAAAATTAGATGAATATGATATATTCAAGTGATAACTAAAACGACTAGATAGTATATATACAAAATCATATGTCATATTTTAAAACATAATATTATTAAAATAAATTATAAAATTATTTAAATTGAAAATAATATCAATATATTTATTTTAAAAATATTTCTATTCGTGCATGACTAGGAAAAAATGACCTAGTATTATGTAAAACAGTTTAATTTATGTATTATTTAAATTTATGATTAAAAAATAAAAATAAAAAATTTTTAAAAAAAGAGAAGAGATTTGATCCGTGCCTAGCACGTTACGGGAGTTTGTATAAATAACACGCGTAGAGAGAGGAAAACCCTAATATTTCAATAACGGCGAGAGTTGGAAAGAAGATGCCGAGGATGAGAGATCTTCCGGATGAATTGGTAGCAAAGATCTTCAAGAGGGTTCCGATAACATCTGTGAAGGCGGTTCGATCTACTTGCAAGACATGGGAGGCTATAACCAGAAGCTGGGTTGTTTTGGGTAAAAATAAAGCAGCAGATGAGAATCTGGGGTTCGTGACGATGAATGACAAGGTCTACTCTCTGAGGTACCATCATCTCGAAGAAGAAGATAGAGATTTGGTTGTTGATGTATGGGTAGAGCAGGTAGATTTGCTTAATGAGTTGGAGATACGTGGTATGGTATATCACTGCGATGGGTTGGTGTTATGCGTGGCTAAGGATCGGACCAGCGAGGCTAGGAGGAGAAAACTTCAACGGAAAAGACATGTACGCGATCGGATACTCAGAGGACGACGACAAGAAGCAGTGCGACCACAAAATCCTGAGGATTCTGAATGACTACATAGGATCAGAAGTAACCGTTTTCAGGTCCGAAATCTATGAGATTAGCTCTGATTCATGGAGGGTCCTCAAGGTGAATTCACCCGAGTGGATGATAGATGATTATCAGCGAGGCGTGTCTGTCAACGGAAACGCCTACTTTTTGGCTCATCAGAAATATGATGGTTTAGAGCATGCTCCTGAGGGTGAAGGTTGGTATTCAGCGGTTGAAGATTTCTTACTCTGTTTTGACTTTACCAAAGAGAGCTTTGGACCACCCCTCCCTCTTCCTTTTCACTCTTACAGTGGAGACTGCGTGACCCTCTCAAGCTTCCTTAGAAGAGGAAGAGATGATGATGAGCAGGAGGAGCAGCTTGCGGTCCTGTTTGGTGCTCTTGAAACTGACTTTTTTGAGATTTGGGTTACCCTTACTGTTGCTCCCAACTATGTGTCGTGGAGCAAGTTTTTGCTAGTGGAAACGGGGCCTTTATTAAATTTTTGGCTTAACCCATCTTCTGGTGGGAGCTTCTTTGTTGATGAGGAAAACGATGTTGCTGTGGTGTTTGAACTAGACGGATGTAAATGCAGCAGGACTCCTCCTCCGACTCAACACACTGCTTTTGTGTTTGGAAAAGCCGACGGCTACATCAAATCTGTTAATCTCGGAGAAGCTCTCAAACTCCAATACCTTTCCCCCTCTTCCGGAAAGCACTTCATAGCTACTTTTCCCCCACTTGTTTGCTCTTCCTCTTACCGTCCAAGTTTAGTCCAACTCAACCAAGCAACACATGTTTAGATGATTATTTGCTCATGGTAAGTTTATTATTTAAGTTTTTAACTGCAAAAGAGAAACTGTTGTGAGTTGCATTTCTCGTTTTCATGTCATGGGCGTTTTTTACGTTTCGTTCCTTGTTGACTGCTATTTTTTAAGATAAAACAACCAATTGGTCATCGATGGATGTGTGTGTGTGTGTTAACAACATTCACAAGAAACTATTTGCGGATTCTCAGTTTGGCAGGAACAATATCCTACTAGAACCAACTCTACCCTAAATCATAAGTCTTTGTCACATACGTAGACGAAACACACAAAAGGTAGGTAGATAAACTTTTGGTAACCATGAACACAGAACTAACTCCTCTGTTATTACATTGTCTACCAAATCTAATTACTCCGACCAAACATAGAAGAAACACACACACACTTGACAGACAAGAAAGTTCGAACCCTAAAACCCACTATTAATTTTATCTGATTATTTCAAGTAGGTTTCAGATTCTGGAACATTGAATCCCACTTTATAATAACCTCCTCTTGTAAAATTTTCCCACAACAAACATCATCATGCAAACGGTAATGATCGAAACCCGTGGAACTAGAGAAGCTATCGAGCCTACATGGAGTCCCATTCATCAGCAGAAGTCTCTCTTCCTTGCTACTTGCACAGCTACCATCTCCGTTGCTCTTGTTCCTCTTCGACCATCTTCCGAGAGCCTGAGACGATGATTCCTCACGTCTCATGATCCAGGACGCACGAACATAGTCCCCGGTTTTCCTAATGGCGTTCAGGAGTAGTCTGGAAATGGAACGAGACGGTTTACTATGTCGGCGAGCGAGCTTGAGGATCTCGAGGCGATGTTTGGCGATGGAGATACCCATGCTCTTGAGAAATTCGTGGTTAAAGTAAGCAATGTCTTCGTATTCTAGCTCGTTGTGTGAGAAGGACAGACCGTACTCGTATGTGAGCGAATCTTCGAGATTTGTTCTCGATAGCCATGAGAACCAATCCATTCTCATGCTACTATCAAAGATATGATTAAGAATTGCTGAGAGTGTCTGTGTGTGTTTTGGGAGGGAAGGTAAAAGTCGTTATATAAAAGAGCAGACTGTTGTTGGGTATTGGGTTCTTTTTTGACTTTTTAAAAAGTAGCGGGGCTAACTTGGTAAGGTGGGTGAACCATGGACTAACTCAAAGTAGACCAAAGTGCAACATGAATTGATGTATGTCCATATACAAGTATATTTTATAAATTATCTTCGTTATTTAAGCTAAACAAACATGTTTATAGTTTTATTGACTTTTAACAAATAATTGTATAAGAAATACTCTTCGTTACAGGTAAGGTGGATTACTTTAACTAAATCCCCTATATATTAATTGAGAAACATTTGAAAAGATGTAACCTCAAGTTTGTATTAATTAAAAAGTAACCTTGCTTAGTTGTCAATCAATTAGCATATCAACTAAACTGACGTGGCGGCTTTAGGTTCAATTGAAATTTGCTAGGAAAAATAATTAGAGACGCATATAACGCATGTAACATAGTTTATATATTTATAATATCGCACACATGTAATGGAAGAAAAGGAAAATATACGATTTGATAACGATTTGCATATATTAACTATAATAACTTCATTCCTTTTAATTTATGGAAGTGTATATGTAAAATGGAAAATACTTTCAAATAATCATAACGTAATTTATAAATCATTGGTGTAAAGTTTTGTTACACAAATATGCAAATAATCATAAAATCATATGAGTAGAAACCTCATTTAATAAATATCCATATTAAAAGTGTGCTATATGACTATGTTTATATCATTTAAATTTAATTATATATCATATACAATATATAAGATTGATTATTTTTATTTATTTACCCTAATTGTGAATAAACAAGAGTAATAGTTAAATTTATATGCATACGCCAATTTGTTA